GTTGATCCCACTCAAGTTTAAATTGCGTAAGCTTATTTAGGTTAAGTAAGAAACAGGGGACTAATTTCAAGTTACAGGCCCAAAGGAATTGGAAGCATTGAGATGACCCATCTTTGTTTAAGCAAGATAGAGAGGTGTATGTTTTATTAGCTCATTTTAATCTATTTTGAAAATCGTCCCATTTTGCTTAAACATTACTTTGCGGCTTAGTTATTAAAAATGGGTCCATTGGTCTTCCTGGAATTTGATTGGTATTAAGACTGTTTATTTCTTTTTTATAAAAGATAAATAATTAAAATATATTTCTTAAAAAGAAAAAGAATGTAATTGCTACTTTTTATTTTACAGCAGTAACTAGTTATAATTCAGTTATTAAAGAATGATGTTGGATCAAGTTTTGGAGAAAACAGTGTAAGCCCAAAATTTTGAAGCGTTTGACGTAAGGCTCATATTTGCCAAAACACCTACTGTGTCAATCATCCTGAGTTAATGCATGTTTTGGGCCCACTAGCATGTACTGTTAGAATTGAATCATGTTAATTGCAGAATTATTGCAAAATCTGATTTTTTATTAACATATACTGTAGGAATCCAAAATAAACTGAGTCAAATTTTGCTTATTACAGAACAAATCTTAAAACGCAATCTGCAAATCAAATATAAATCTGGAAAAAACAATCTTACAGAATCTTCAAAGGAATATATTACGAAAGTGTTATCACATTATAAATAAATCAAATCTTATTACAGAAGCGCGTATGACAACGAACAAATCCAATTACAATCAATATTAAATCAATTACAATCCTTAAATCCATAAATCAAAACTAACTGTAACGACAAAAATGCAAAACCCTAAACACTAACTATTATAAGTACTGAAAAGGGGGTTTTTGCAAAGGGGGATTCTCTGGACAGAACAAGAAAAGAGCGAAGGCGGCTAGCTTTGATAGAAAACAGGGGAAAGATTCGGGGACGAAATTGAAGAAAAGCCGGAGACGGAAAGGTTGAAGGAAGAAAGCTGGAACGAACTCCTTACCGTTGAAGACGAAAGGAAGAGGCGATTAGAGTTTCAGGATCGGAAACCCTAATCGCCAGCCATTGAAATAACCATCACCGCCGTCTCCCTTTCCTAATCGTGGCGTCGTTCGAACACCATCTTCAAGCCCTCAATCGGCGCCTACAAAAGGAAAGAAAAAGGGGTTAAGACCCAAATCGGAAAAGCAATCGGAAGGAGCTCGTGAAGTCAGAATCTTGAAATCGCGAAAGGGGTAAAAAATCAGCTTAGCTTGCTATTTGTTTCGTTTGTGGGTTGTGTTGCGGTTGATTGGTGGTAGAGGTAAGATTTGTGGTTGAGCCGCCGCCGGTTTCTAATGGAACTAGGGTTAGAAAGAGGAGAAAGAAAGGTTGTGTTTTAGCGAGGGAGAGAGAGGATAAGTCTTTCTGGGGAAATATAATTTCTGTAAAATGAAGATAAAAATGAATAGAAACAAATTATGTTATCCGTTCGTATCTCATGTCCGCGCGCCCATAATAATAACCGTGCTCCCTCGTTAATAGCCCTCGGGTCTCAATAAGGCGGTAATAAGGCCAAGCCGCACCCTAAGGCTATGCACCGCGTAACACACAATCAGCCTGCCCCCTTTCCAAACGCGTTGGGCCCAACCCAATTGTTACTTACCCCCCTTCCAACTGTTTACTAAAAGCTCAAAACCTTTTGCACCCCTCTGTCCAGAAACGTTTGGGCTTGGCCAAATTCCTTTTAGCACCACCAGTATTTACTCCTTAACAAGAAAATACACCCCCCAGGTTTACCTAAATTATTAATATTTTTTATTATTTCTTTTTATATTATTTTTTATATTATATTTTATTATTTATTCTTTTTTCATTTATAATAATAATTATTATTATTAGTTTTTATTATTATATTTTAAATATTATTAATATATTTACTATTAAGTATTATTATATGATCAAATAAATTATTTTCATTCAAAAATTCATATATTATTTCCTATATTATTTGCGTTAAATCTTTTTTCCAATCATGCATTAATCGAGATCTTCACAAATAGTACAATTAAAAAGTACAAACCAAACATCAAATGCTATTTTCGCAATAAACTAAACTAACCAACTATTTTTGCAAATGGGTTTCAAGTTAGTTTTGGCTTACTACGCGCTCAGTCAAAATCTCTGCAATCACTACTCCCGACCGAGTGCGAAGTGATTCAAAATATGCTTGCAAACCCCTAAAAACACCAACCCATACGAACTACGAATTGAGACTCTGATTCCTCATAAGAGGATACGTAGGCACGTGATCTAAAATCGTGGTGAATCTTTCTAATTAAAACTTAAAATCCAGTTTACCCCAAACCTAAACCTAGAGCTTAATATCCTTGTGAACAAGGTGGACGAAAGGTGCCTAACACCTTCCTTTCGTCTAATTGAGTCTGAAACCTAGAATCCATGTCCGCGAATTAGGGTTTTCTGTTAGGTTCCCTTCCCTTGGATAAAAACTAATAGTGGCGACTCTTGATTAAAAATCCAGTTACTACACTACCATAATGTAATCAAACTGAGAAGTTAAAGAACTCAAGATCTTCTCAATGATTATTTATTCAGAGAGAGTTTCTCCACAAGCTTTCATCTCATTAGTGATTATAATAACTCTAGAGATGTACTCAGAAACCTTCTTGTTGTCCTTCATGTTGAGATTCTCATATTGCTTTCTGAGAGACTTAAGCTTCACCTTCTTCACTGATGCGTCACCACCGTAACATCTGACCAATATGTCCCACACAGCCTTTGCTGTTTCAGAATCAACAATCTTCTCAAACACATTTGCATTCACACATTGATGGATGTAGAACAACGCCTTCTGATATTTCTTTCTTAGCGCCTTCTGTGTTATCTTCTGTGCCTCTGTTGCGTCTGCTTCTAACAGATCATAACCATCGGTGACAAGATCTAACACATCTTGAGAATCAAATAACACGCGCATATGGATCTTTCAACGATTCCAGTTTTTGCCATCAAATACTGGAAGCTTGGAATGGACATCGCCGTTGTTTCCGTTCATCTTCTACCTTGTGCAATTTACGCAGAAACTCTATAAAGCAGTGTTTTTCCAAATCCCCAGAATCAGAAACAACGATTATCACACAACAACTTACCGTTCTCTCGTGTTTCCCGTTTTCCCCGTGGATTTCGAACTTGAGTTTTAAATACTAATTGTTGGTGCACAAAGAAGAGATGAAAGGCAAAAAGAATATATTAAATGACGGCTACAAAAATAAGGAATAATGATTTAAAATGAATTACATTGAGCTACCTCACCAGGCTATTTATACACAAAATAAAATACTAAATATCCTCTAACAAAGATATAAAAAGATATAATAATATCCTATGAAAAGATATTCCTAAAATATAGATTAATATCCAAAATATATTCCTAAAATATAGATTAAATCTAACAAAAAGATATGAATTTACGAGATTCAACAATGTGGAAGGTGAAAGAAGGTTAGTCATTAGGCCGAATAATATCTTTTTGGATAATAGGAAAATACCCGCCAATGTCCCAAGATTTCAAAGGAGAATGCTAGAAGGTTTTGCAGAGGAGAAAGGAAATACAACAAAGCGGAACAATGAGGAAGGAAAAAGATACAAAATGAAGCATCAACAAGGATGACAGATGTCACACTTAAATTTGTCAGCTTTAGTGCTACAGTCAAAATTATTTTCAAATTTGAATTTTTAAATTTTTTTAGTTTATTTACACTAATATTTTAAATTTTATAAATATTCGTTTTCAAGTCTATTTAAAAATATATTAGTTTACTTTTAAATTATTTATATTTAGCAAATATCTCCGCACCTTTCATATACTTTCAATTGAGCTATTATTTCAAATGAGTAATGTAGTATAATTGGTAAGGAATAAAGCTTTCAAATGCGACATCGTGAGTTTGAATCTCTTGTGTTGCATTTTAAACGTTTTTTCTATTTTGTTACTAATTTTCTTTCATTTTTCAAAAATCAAATTTTGGACTTCTCTTGGTTTTTGGGTAATTTACTTTCTAAGTTTTTTTAAACTTAATTCTAAGTCTATAAATAAGACTATTGTCCATCATAATTTTTCATTCAGAATTTCACAATCTCAATCTTTCTCTTACATTTGGTTTATTCCAGGATTTATGAACAAAGACTTTGTGAAACAGATCCACAAACTTGCTATCTTTCTTTCAAGCTGACAACAACCTAAGAACAATCTCATCAACAATCATTTGCAAAATCTACAATGATCAACAATTCTCAATCTCTCTCTCACAATCTCTTACAACTTTTGTTTGTTTTTTTTCCGAATTTTTTTCTTTGGAAATAATAAAGTTCGCTAACGACTCTTGCTTTTTTTGAGTTAAGTTAATCAATATCTTAATCTCAATTTTCCAGTCGCGATAGACTGACGAATCTGCTGGGGAGTAGTCCTCAAGTGGGTTAAACCTAGCTTGTTTTTGTTTATATTTTGTTTTTGTTTGTTGTTTTTGCTTTTGGGTGCTTGGTGATATCTGAGTGGTGATATAAGTCCTATATTCGTACTTGATTGCACATATAATTAGAAAGGTGGTATAGTCATGCTTGATCTACTTGGTATTAGGTCTCAGGAGATTGACTTGAAATTCTCCACTCAGTGGAGACCCTTTTGACTGTAATAATGTCTTACGAGTAAAATTGTAATAACGTTGTTGCTTTCGGTCTGATAGTCTGTAAAACTGGGGATCTTTAAAATCCATTTTACCCCTCTTGACCTCTTAGGACGTAGTTTGGTGACCATCCCGATGTAAACCTAGATTGGTTGATACATTTTTTTTGAAACCCTTACTTCACTTCCTTCACTTTTTGTATAAAACACAAGACACTGTTCTCACAATTTATCAACAATTTGCACTTGGTCATTCACATACATTTGCACGTAGTCATTTACATACATGGAACACACACTAAACTTTTTTCCTTTACCATGCATATTCCCTTTCAATTTCCATCGCCTTGTATGTATTTTTCTTTTCAAAATTTCATCATTAACAAACCAGAACATACACATACAATTCACCGAAACATTCACTCAAATCACTTTTTTTATATTCCTTAAAACAACAATGCAAATCCAAGACCAGCAACCTGTACATGTAAACATTACAAATCATTCAACAGATTTCACCAAAAGAGTGCCACTCGATGAAGCCAACGCTCTCGCTCATCTCGCTGACCAACACTCAACAATTTGCAAGATCATTATCAAGATTTTGGAAAAAAGAGAGAGAGGGAGAGTATTGAAAATATAAGATGCAAAGCCGATGCCGGGAAAACAAAATGCAACTTCCCTCTGTCAGGAGCTTCAGCCGAGCCTGCTCACGGGCCGTCTCCGTCGTCAGTTGCAACGATGTCCCAGCCTTACATCCACTTCCCTCCGCCGAAGCAAACGCACACACCAACCTAAGCTACCGCTGACTACCCCTTCGCTCCGAACCTTCGAAGGGATTCCACAACACCGCTCAGCCTCTGCCAATCCGCGGAACACAAGCCCCATGGTCGCATCTTCCACGAGGCTCCTTCGCTCAGCCGTCATCGTCGCCTTGTAGCCGCCCTCTGTGTCTGTCGACCACCATCATTAAGGAGAAGGTGAGTATGTCTTTTTTGGCCATTTGTTATACATGATTTTTGTTAGGCTTATGGGTTCATTTAATATGATGAAGAAAGATTGGGATTTGATGAAACTTGGAAAAATGAGTTTAGAGAAACTCGTTGGAAGAAGAAATAAGAAAAGAATGAAAGGTAAGTGAAACACTATTTTTTTTCTCTCTAATATTGTTTTTATATAATGTTGTTTTATTTTATTTTTTTCTTCACATTTGCCACGTTTCAGCATATGTGTGGCTGCAATTTCATTTTGAAGTGATCAACATTTTCTCCAATAAGTAGTCCGTCTCCTCTCCACTCTTTACAACGTGATTTTTTTGTTGTTATTATTTTTTTCAAATATCTATTATCATTATTAATATTAGGGTTTATTTCAGTGATTGGGCTTTTGGGCTCATTGCTTCTAATCTCCTACTTATCCTGGCAACCATTCTAACCTATACCCTCTTAGATTTACTTATTAATTAGCTTTTCTAGTTTAATTAGTTTAAATTATTTTTGTTAGTCAAATTAATTTTAAATAATTTAGTCAATTTAGATTAGTTAGTTTAATTATTTTACCAATCAAACAACTTTTTTAAATTAATTAATTCAATATTTTACAAAGATATTAAAACTTACACAACTCATCAGATATTCCATCTGCGAGCAACACGTGACCAATATCTGGCCACGTGATAAGGGAGACTTTATCAGACTCCCTCTATATCCTTTATGACGAGCAACACGTGGTCAATATCTGGCCACGTGAGGAGGAAGACTTTATCAGACTTCCCCCGCTCTGTGTCTTATGATACTTTAATAAAATCAAATATTAAAATAGCTAACCAACGTTCAAACCATTTTTTCCCTACTAACATAATAAAAAATTACAAGATATTTTCTAAAAAAGGATTAAGGAGAATTGCCATCAAAATTAACTGCGAACTACGTCTAAGATCACTCACTTTTCAAACCCATACATGATTCAAGGATAAATTCGAAAGTAATTCTACGCAATCCTATAAAAACACCAACCAAGCACTACAAACTACGAATTGGGATTATGATTCCTCATAAGAGGATACTGTTGTACCCCAAATTTTCCCTCTCTTTTCTCAAGACATTTCTCACAAAGATTTTCAAAAGCTCAAGTTTGCACAAGTACAAAGCAGACAAAAAAGGTGTGCAGATGCAGGTAACTATGTTGAATTCAAAATCTGGTTCAGGCTACATGACTGATCGAAAGGAGTGGTTGGAAGATTTGGACAAATCGAAGAAGAAGCTTTGATCCACAAGCTTCGACTGAGCAGTGGCTTCCTTCATGCTTGCTTCGATCCATAAAGCAGTGGCTTCCTTCATGCAAGCTTCGACTGAGCAATGACTTCCTTCATGCTTGCTTCGATCCACAAGGCAATGGCTTCCTTCATGCAAGCTTCGACTGAGCAGTGGCTTCCTTCATGATTGCTTCGATTCACAAGGAAATGACTTTCTTCATGCTTGCTTCGATCCACAAGGCAATGGCTTCCTTCATGCTTGCTTTGATCCACAAGGCAATGACTCCCTTCAAAACAACATGCTTCGATTCCACCTCTAAACCCTTCGACACACATAGTTTCTACACTATAAATTATAATTTGAGGATTGGACATTTGAACTTTAGACCACTTAATCAACTGATGGTTACTGGTAGGAAAGCAATCCAGAAATTCTTTCGTTTTGGCTATGTCAATGAGATCATCTTGCATGCTCAATATTTGAGACCATTCGAAGAACACACATTTGTTGGAAACAAATATTATTTCGTCTGTTGTTGAGTCTGGTCGAAGGTTGTGTGGTCCATTTGAAGGACACACATTTGGTGGAAATAAATATTGCTTCGTTTGTTGTTGGGTCTGGTCGAAGATTGTGTGGTCCATTCGAAGGACACACATTTGTTGGAAACAAATATTATTTCTTCTATTGTTTGAGTCTGGTCGAAGGTTGTGTGGTCCATTCGAAGGACACACATTTGTTGGAAACAAATATTGTTTTGTCCGTTGATCAGTTTGGTCGAAGGTTGTGGATCTATGTGATCAAAACGAAAGGGTGAAGTATTCAAGATGCTTGCCGAACAAAGTCCAATATGTTGTCAAGCCCAAGCTTGTTGTACTTTCCACATAACAACCTAAAACCATGTCAAAAGCAGTCTGTTGCACTGCTATGAAATAGCCCTGCACCAAGTTGCCATAACACTCCAAAACTACTGCAAAACAGTCCTGCTATGCTGCTCCTAATTTGCACCAATCTAGCACATACAAGCTGCACCTCGAAAGCTATGAAAATAACATACCTAAACTGTTCAAATTTCATTTGTTTTCCCCCTAAAACCTCAGCAAAACTCTTCTATAAATAAGTTGTTTCACAACACATCTAGAGGAGGCTTTTGGACAAGGAAAAAGGAGAAGAAGAAAAAGAGAGGGGAGAGAACCCAAGGCCGAAGCCTTAGAACACTCTTAAACCCAAAACAAAAAAAAAAGACAACACCTTTGTTTCTTTTCTTTCGAACCCAGAACCAACAAAGATAACACCTCTTTTCTTTTCTTTCGAACCCAAGAGCATTCAAAGGCAGCAACTCACGTCCAAAACACACATTCCAGCTTCAAGGTAAGTCTTCTTGACTATAAACCCTTAGTTTTAAACATCATTAATCATTGACTTCGAAGCTACTCTTTTTGTTTGTTTTCCTTTCTTGTCAAGAACTAACCCGTACAGGCCATAAAACAATGTTGGAGTGAGAAATTACAGCATGCTTCGACACAAATCCTTAGGCTTCAACACACATTGCTTTACAGGTCCAAACAAAAGAAAAAAAGGGTGTGTGAATCGAAGGGCGCATACTGCATGAATCGAAAGATTTTTTTTCCTCTGTGAATCGAAGGATGCATGCTTCGAACATACTGCATGAATCAAAAGATTTATTTTTTATCTCCTTTATGATGTTTTTGTTTTTTATTTATTTATATTTTCTATACATTTTATTTCATTGCTATTCAATATGGTTGTAATAATTAGGACTTCTATTGCTTTTCAGCCCCATTTGTACATTTGTATCCCCCATCCCCTAAAGAGATGTAATAGCTTAGGATTTTAATTTCCGCAATTTAACGTTTTAATATAAATTATTAGTAATTAGGGTGTTGTTATACCCCAATTTTTGCCCCTAAGATCCCTCACCATACTCTGTACATCTCACACATAGCATTGGTCCCATGGTTATAGGATCGAAGAGCTTTGGCATTAGGGTTTCTCTCTATGAATTAAGGTTGTTGTCTTACTCAAAATTGATTCAACTGGTGCTCTCATTATTCTTGGTATGAGATTGGGGTTTTGGATCTCAAGCAGCATAGACGTCTTTGTTATCAAGTTTCCTCAAGATACAAATTTTTCTTTATCAGAGTTCTTTCAAGGAACAAAGGCATTAAGGTTTAACTTAGTCAGAGAACCAGGAGTTCTTTTCATCTTGTTCTTGGTAGTGGTTCTTATATGGATATTTATTGGATTAAAGTCTCACTTCAAGGCTACATTGAGCGCTACTCTTCCCTTACTGAAAGATTGCTTTGGGTTTTATCAAGTTTAGATATGTACCGTTGGGTAAGCTATGGGTTAGGAGCTCCTTTAGCTCATTTCATCAAATCGAAGTTGGTCGCTTCAAATGCAAGATGACTTGAATCTATGGATTTAATTGAGATTGAGGTGCGTTGACTAAACATGGCATGGAAATATATTGAATTCATTTTCTTACTAGATGTTGATTAAAGGGCTCATATGTGTTATGAATTCCATTGTCAAATAATCAAGTTTAATTCAAAGTATGGGCTTATGAATCCCTGATGGCTTATTCAAGCAAGAGTGGAAAGTTCATATGGTGTTATTCAAGGCATTTATTCAAGACCGCCAAATATCAAAATTTACCGTAATCCGTTAGGAACATTAATTTAAAAAAGGAATAAATACAATGCAAGTTTTGTATGTATAGAAAAATTACAATGCAAAAAGGAGAGTTCGAAAGAAATTACAAAGAAAACTCCCATTTTGGGACCCAAAGTCAAGCTATCCTTAGAAATACTAGACATCATTCATTCTTTCTTCAAATACATCTCTCACCATTAGCTTCAAAGGAGTTACAAATGATTTAAATGACCATAGGTTGATACCTTCAAATCCGCTTGAAGACTTGAGTCTTAAAATAAAGATTCGTGGACTGCCTCCTAATGGTAGTGGCGAAGTTACTTTGTTACTTCCTTTTGTTCAGAACATAACTAAATTGGTCCACCAGCTGGAAATTACCCAGGATATGGAATTTCACTAGTTACAGATGACTGCTTCTGGTTGCTACAACTCTGTCTACTCTTCTCCTTCCCTAGAATCCTCCAATGAGTTATCACCAAGGCAATTCACAAGAATGGTTCTTAAACGTAAGCTGAAACGCAAGCTAACTGCAAAATCTTGAAGGAAAACTTGTCAAAACTGAAAAAACGATTCCGGCATTACAAGTGTGTACATGTTCTGTTAAGAAAAAACCAGCAATACAAAGAAGAAGAAAACTAACTGTTTAACCCTCACAGCAAGACGCCTAACTATTTTCATTCATCAAAATAGAATTCCGACTTTTTTCTAACAGACTAAACCAATAAAAAACTAAAGAAGAATTCACTTTATTCAAGCCAGCCTGCATCCAAAAAGAAATAACAATTACACAGTTTAAATTCAATTCACAGCCGTAGTGGTGAACTAACTTTGTCAAACTAAGCTTCTAACGGTTTTGCAAATTCAATTCTGGTGACTTTATTCAGAAGATGATTGTCCTGTAGGAAAAAGAAGGAGAATCAGAAAGACTTACTAATACTCCAAATATCATAGAGTTCCAAAAACAAACCGATATAGCAGAAATTAGCCACCTCATCAACCTATAACTAATTCT